GATGAGACATTTAGAGCACCTCACAGGACTGGGCCTTTTCACCATCAGGTAGGAAGAAACCAGAATTTGGAGGCTTAGGGAGGTTTGTGGCTTTCTGTGCAGAGGAAGGGTGTTTGTGACTCCCAAGTAGGTTGAGGGCTGAAAGATGCGTGGCAGTTCTGGGTATGTACAATAGCTGAGCAGGAGTTTGGGGAATAATAGATTTTGGGCAGCTGAGCCCCTTTACAAAAAAAAAAAAAAGCTGTGAGGGGAGAGGGAGGGCTTAGGCTAAGTTGTGTTTAACTTAAAAAGTCACTTCAGTCACTACAAATAAATTATAAAAAAAAAAAAAATCCCTGTGCATGGTGAATTACTACCACTAAATCAACTACAGAAGTCTTTTAAATTAACCTGGCCTCTTGTAATGGACTGTTTCATGAGCTCTAGTTAAAAAATGCCACAACTTTTTTTTTTAATCAAGATCTGAAGTGCCCTTGCCTTCGCTTGTACTCTTCCAGACACAGGGGCTGTTGAAAGCAGGCAGAATTCCTTTCCCCTGTCACACTAGCAAGCAGACATATTAGTATATTTTGTCACTGAGCTTGTGGGAGCCAGGTAACACCAGCGGCCGCAAAGCACCCCCATTTCACAGCCAGCCTTGTCTAAGGTTTAACAGGGCTGGGCACATCGCGCCTGTGCCTCTTACTCTTGGCGTTGGTTCATGTAGCATCTTCCCTGCTGGTGGGAGAGGATGTGTCTAGCCTGAGGCCAGCAACCGAGGATCTTCCTTAATGAAATACCGTGGGCAACTTACTTGACACAGGGGCGTGAGGGCGTACCTTTCATCAAAGGTCAAGTACAGGTGGTAGGGGTAGTTGCCTTTAATGCTGTGCTGCTGTAAGGCTGAGAACACTGTTAGTCTCTTTCAAAATGCTACACCTGTACAGATCTTCAGTCTTTGTCTGCAAGCAGTTTTTCACTTCATTTTTATTTATTTTGCAGCTTCTGTTGGTGTCAGATGGATGATAGGCGTTACAGAAATTAACAAGGGCTCCACCTATGGCAACAATGACAACAAGCAGAAACAGAAGTAGTATCTTCAGAGACTGCTTCAATCCAAAGGGAACAAATGCAACTTTGGAAAACTCTTAAGTACATATCATGCTCATTCAAGTGAGATCAGAGGAAGGGTAGGATGAGCAATTGCCATGCATATCTGAATTTGTGCTCCTGTTATTTTTCTCTGGGCTGGATGAGACACGCTTGAAAGATGCACTCCTTCGTATACTCTCCACAACAGGTTTGCATTTGTTTGGTTGGTTTGTTTTCCTATAAAGTTTTGAAGAAAAAAAATAAAAATCCAGTGTGCTTGTATGATGAGACTCTGCCTGGAAACTAACCAGAGGTGCAGGCTTTATCTTTCTTAACTTGCTCTAAGGAATGGATAAATGTCAGAAGATTGTTACAAGATGATTAAAATTCATAGTTGTGTAGATCACACGTTAACAATTTAACAAACATAATCTGTCAATGTTTAAATACAGTAAGATGCTCTGCTTGGTTATACCAGTATTGGACTGAAGCAGCTCTACTGGACTGGCAGACTTGCAGTAGAGTTTTTCTACATCTAGAACCTCCCGCAGTGTGCACCACGTGGGCCCTTTAAAACTTCAGCCAGACCCTGGCTAAGGGCCCACTTTGTTAGATCGGCGCCTTGCAGTGGCATAACCTGGAGTGGAACTTGGCTTTGTGAGCAGAGCTAAGTTATCCACTGCCACATCTTTCCCCAGGCAATCCATCAGAGGGATAGCTGAAACCTGTAATTCTTTTGGGACTAAATGCCATTTATAGTTTGGAAAATCTGAGGTAGTAAGTTCCTTTCAGCTTTAAACACTGATTAAAATTCTAGGCCTTCCTAACAATGGTGGAAACAAACAACTGTACGCTGTAACTAAGTGATGCAAAGCGTGCATTGAAGTTATACCCCACATACTGTTGTGATCCCAGTTAATCTGCTTGTCTGTCTTTTCTGATAAGTTAGTTTACATGGTGCCTCATAACAGTCAGCCTGAGGTAATACTTAAATCATCTTTTGCTTTTCTTTTGGGGAGAAGAGGGGAAGTGGGAGAGACACCTAGGACAGTGGTATGGTTTAGAGCTTTTTATGGCTGTCTGGACTTGCTTTGACACCCTTCTGAATTAAATAAAGCTAGAGTCAAGCCCCTTGAGAAAACTGTGTTGCTCTGACATCCCTGGTACTGATTCCAGGGCATCCTCCTCTTGTTTTTAAATTTCAAGAGTTAAGGGTATGCAAGTTAGTAAAAAGAGCTTGTTTAAAAAAAGAAAAAAAAAAAGAGGGGGCTTCCAACTACCAGCAATTATGATTGGGAAAAACCCAAACTTTTAACCTCTAAAGATAGTGATACTGAGCGGTGGGGATTATGATTGACACTTTCAGTGATAGTACATTTTCATTGCACCTAGGATTAAACCGTGATAGTCTAGGAACGAACAGCTTGTGTGTCTCTAGAGAAGAAAGTGAGCAGTTGTAGTTCTAGCAGCTGGTATAAAAAATATTTCTCTCTTCCTATAATAAAACTGAGGCCAGAAGAAACAGGGGCTAATACAACAGAATATGAATCATTCCATGAAATATGCATTTGCTGTTCAGTACATCAGCTCATCTAGAAACTAGTCTTTTTAATATGCAGCAGGTGTAGTAGTGCTTTTAGCATGGGGCAGTAAGTAAAGTTTTTTTGAGAGTGGAGGCAGTGCAATGTACAACGTGAAGGAAGGAACAGGCCTTGGGAAGTGTGAGGGACTAGTTTTGGGGGCTTTTTTCCCCAGCCGTCTTGTACGCATGCATTCCCTATGCTCTGAAGCTTTCTGGAATAGGTTGTATGATGTCATGAACATAAACATGGGCTTTAGTGTAGTTTTTCAACACGTGAAATAAATAGAGCCTGAGATCAGAGAATATTGCCATGCTTATAAAGCTGTTCTCTTAATAAAGCACATGCCCTGCACCCTAAAACAATCTTAACAGTGGAAAACTGAGTATTATAACCTGTAGTAGTGTCTGAAAGTCCAGCTATCCCATAGTAATGCATCAGGCACGTTAATGAGCCAGGCCTGAAGATACTGTACACAAGACTTTGAAAATGGGTGGAGGTAGGAGGGAGAAAAGATCTCTCCAAGCTAGCATTTTACTGTAGCCCTCACCTGGCAGATATAGGGGGCTTTTCTCAGGGTGGTAAAACCCTATATGCACAGGTGAGTAGTTCTGAGCAGCAAATACATATTCATGTAGTGACAGAGACTAGCTTTTTTGCCTTTTTAAAGAGCCACTGATTTAATCATCCTGGCAGGGAGACATTTAACATTCCTTAGGAGTCTTAGTCCTTTCCTCTCCAACTGCATGCAGTGCCACTTCTCCCAGAGGAAAATACCAAACGTAAATATGTCTGAAAGAATATTTAGACTATTTCATACCCATTTCCTTGGGACCAACCCTTAGAACAGGCTGAAGGCCAAACATGCCACTCCTGGATCTGTCCTCCTAAGCACTTCTAGAAGTCCTGGCGCCCAAGGACTGCACCACTGGGCCCTTCCATCATTCACTGGCAAACAGAGAAAGCTTAATGGTACTTGCCAAAGTTGTTAAACTAGTCCAGTTCACTGTATTAAAAGTGACATATGTCATCAGGAAGCAGTGTTTGCCCCTCATCCCCACAAGCAACTGTATGTTCTACAACTGCCTTAACAAAAGTAGTCTTAACATTTGTTTATACAAAAAATAAAAGTATAAAAAGCTGACGTGCAGTAAATGAGTTTTCTTTTGGTCGGCAACAACAAACTAGTAACAGTTTACTTTTTACCTTTTTCCTGACTCCTAAAAGCTGTCTGCAGTTCCTGTTTGTGTACAGGGGCACCTGAAACAGGGCAAATGAGGACACAAACCGCTTGATTACTTCCGATATACCTCAAGGTAAAGCACATAGCAGGCCAGAGGGGCACTTTTACCTCAGGTCCTTTCATAGTCAGTTGCTGAGGATGACAACTAGCATAACTGAAAATAGAGAACTGGAGAAGGGAAAGTCTTTGTTTAAATTCAGCATTGTATTTTTTGAGAGCCTAGATACACTGCACTGGTGACCTGCACAGTGAGGCTCATGCTTTTCTAGATTTAAACATCAGATTTCGTGATACCTTCTCAACGGCTCACTCAGCTGCTAAAAGCTACCCCACACCTGTAACAAACCAGGGATTTGTGGATTAAGAGGAATGACAGGACTGTAGAATAAAAACAAATATTAAAAGCAAGTTCTCTGCCTTATAGGTTACCCATTTTAAGGTCTGAAGCTGTAACAGACGTATGTAAACTTGCACTAATGCTTACAAGTAAGAGTTTTAAACAGTTTTAAGTAAGTCATCTGTTTGTAATAGCAAGCCAAACAAAATAATCTAAATAGCTCAAGTGTTGGAGACTGTTTCTTCTAATTGCTAACCACTCTAACTTCCCTCCATTTTCTGAGACTGATGACAATTGGGGGGGGGTAGGGGGGAAATCAAAGTCCTGGATCTGAAATCGGTTTTAAAAAGCTCTTAATAATAAGTTCTTGGGTTTGCCAAACAGAACATAATCATAATCGTAACTGATTCTCCTCTTGGCCACAGAAATGCCATGCAGAGCACTCCCTGTTTGCAGTACTCGCATTCAAGAAGAAAGTTCGCTCAGACCAGACTCTATCCCTTATGTAGTAGGTAGTGTCAGGAACTGCACATCACTTTATTTCCTCAGGAGAGGATGAAGGGGGGACCTTAATTCTATCATCACTTCTGCAGTGTAAGATGCTGCTTACACATCTTGAACTTGACAAGACATTCACTACTGCAATATCAGAGAAGCTTATTCCTGTTAGGTTAGCTCAGCAGTCTTAAACAAGCGTTGGGAAAAAAAGTTTAAGATGTGACACAATCCCACATATTTATTGTCAGAAGAAAAACCCTTCACCAACAACTCCTAAAATAAACCATTTATTGAGAAAAAACTTCTTTTAAAATTTCATTAATCAGCCTTGTGCATAACAAATCTGAAGCTTGCCAAAAACAAATAAACAAAAAAAACAGTAAAAGTTCACAGTCAGTGCACTCAACAAACAGATTAAAAAACAAGGTCCATAACGCCTGATAACACTACAGCATTTTTCTGAACCTAAAGAGTTCAAAAATACTACATATTAACATGACAGTTCTCAATCAAATGAGAAACAGGAGAAAGAACAAAAATGGTATGGTCCATATACAGTAGTAATGGCACTTTCACTGAAACATGCAGCTTCTTCCAACTTGCGGACACTGTCACGTGAGCAACATGTGCCAAGTAAAACATACAGGAGCAGCAGAGAAAGTGACGCTCGTCACTTGTGCAGTCTTCTTAAGTTCAACTTTTATACTGTTTCTCAGCACAGTCTTTATGTAAATATTACATACAGTAGTGATTAAAAGATACCTTGCCAGAATAAAAAAGGCCAGAGATTGAATAACTTCATTCTTCATCTGTGCAAACCTGTGAAGAGGACAAAAGGCAATTAATTCAATTGTCTCCCTATTGCAGCAAGAAGATGACAACAGATCAATTTCTTTAGCACCTTCACTGAACATCTTTGAAGCTTTCTTCTTTCTCCCTTGTTACACAGATAACGAATTACAACTATTTATGTACGATACTGACGCTTCCACTGTCTCCATGCAACTCTCATGTGCCTAGAGAAGTGTTCTGCCTCTGCAATGGACGGGATTTGGCTACCAGTTGCGCTGATGAGAGGGATGGGTGTGATGATGCCAAACATGCTGTTATTGAACCAGAATACTTTATGCTGGAAAATGGGACAGAATTCAATAGCCTACTGTGGCTCCTACTTCTTCAAAAAAGAAGTTAAATACACCTAAATTTGTAGCTGTAAATATTTGCCTATTCTTAAGCAAAGAATTAAACCAAAGTTCATAAAAGAACTGCAGATTGTTATGCCAATTGCCAGATAAACATTCAATATGAACTTAACCTTAAGTATGAACTTGAAAGAAAAGCAGAAGGATGCACTGAAGGATGGTAGAGTTCTCAAGCATGTGCTTGTTTCACTTTTTGTGGAGGGGACCTTTATCTCTATATTCTAGAAGTCTGTGCATATGTACTTGCTAAAGTTTTAGGCACATAGCCCTTCAGATCCAATTAACTATCACTGAGCTGAAGTTTAACAAGTATTTTTAATATAAAGATAACGCATCTCAAAACAGCAGTGAAGGTTTATCGCATGGTGCACACCAGGTTCTTTTAGTCAAGTATTTGCTAGCAACATCACATGTGCTTCTGAAAAGTTGCCAAACCTTATTTTCTGGACAGCATCAACTTGATACCAGCCTGCCACCGTGACACAAAGCCCTGCGGCATAGCTGCAAATGATGGAGCCAACTAAAAGCTGTTTCCAATTCCCATCTACAGTCTTTGTAGCCAAAGCCACGGGACAAACCTTGACAAAAGGATGATCGAGGAGCTGGCTGGCCGTCCACCTCATCTTTGGGTCACTTTCCAGGCAGTGGCAAAGGAAGTCTTTACCTTCTGGGCTCACTTTGTCAGGAATAGGAGGCTTATGACCCATCCCCACTTTATACATGATCTGGAAGTTGTGCTCATATTCGTGCCAAGGCCTCTGAAACAGGTAACAGAATTGCTAAGTGCAAGGTTTAGCGAGTAACTTGCTATCCAATAGAGCATATATTTCTGTACCCCAGGAAATGAAAAACCACCCCAGTACTTGCAGACTTAAGTGTGACAAATTGCTGGGAGCGGGACCAGAATTTGCAGAGAAACTGCTGAGAACAGGTTGCACTCATTCAGTACATGAAACATCCCTACCTTGCCAGTGACCATCTCTATAACAACACAGCCCAGGCTCCAGATGTCTGCTGCACGTCCGTGCCCTTCTCCTTTAGCTCTGGTAATTACTTCTGGAGCCATGTACGCTTTGAAACAACACATAGGATGTCATCAGTTCAGACAGCAGAAGGAACAGTATACATTAAGTGATTAACTGGGCAAACCAAATGCTTTTTAATACATCTGTAATGAATTAGCATTCAGCTTTTCTTGCTAAGTTTTGTCACTTGCTGGCTTCTTGTTCTTTGACACGTTTGCAGTGTAACTGTCTTTCAGTTTGAAAAGTGATGGTGAAAATGCCAGTACAGTACATGCTTTCAGTTATTTTCATTTTTTAAAAATAGATTAAGCAGCTGTTCAGAAAGAACAGTACTGTTTCAAGTAAGGCTGCAGAGAACGATACAACCCCAGTAAACACATGCTCCAGCATCTTTATAGTTACCAGACAAGTACAATTTTATCTTTCCAGTTACATCATTCACTGATTTTTTTGGCTTCTGGATGTAAAGCACATCTAACCAGCTAAGGTAAAATCAAGTTTCCCTGAAACATATCATTTTACTCCAGCCCCGACTTTTGGCAGAGGTATCTTCTTTTAAGGTAACTAGACAAGTATCTGCTTAGCGCATGCATCCCTACCTGCAGTCCCCAAAGTACTGTTCACTTCTCCAGGCATTGTCTGGGTGTTGTTCTTCAGTTTCACTGAGCAGCCAAAGTCTCCTAGTTTAATCAGTCCAGATGAGGTAAGAAAGATGTTGGCTCCTACAAAACACAACGAAAAAACAGTAACACTTGTTAAACTAGCGCTGAATTGAGGAACGAGGGCTTCTTGATATAGTCTTAGAAGTTACACAGTAGATAATAGCTGAATTCACACTTGGATCTTTACCTGTGGATTAAGCGTGGAATATGATAGCATCAGAGATGTTCCCCAAAGGGTACATTGCCATTAGCCAATAGGATTTTTGATGGGTTTGTGTTAACACTAAGTGTACTGGAAGTTGACAACAAGAAGTGCTCAAAACACAAAGCAGTATGGCAGGCAAACTCATCAGCTTTCCATATGTGCTCATTGTGAAATTACTTCTCTGGGAATTTATGAATTTCAGTGCTTATCCTTGTAAGTGTTGCACTGCGAAAAAATACCTGTCTTTAAGGAGCTTCCTGGCAGAGGCCATTGCTGCGTACCTCCCACTAGCCATCTTTTCAGTTCTGCTGACTCAAGACAGATGATATCATACAGCTGTGTCGTCATGGCAGACTTGCAAAATGGAGCTTATAGCATTTTATAACATGTACTACCAAATGCCCACTCCTATTGTGTCTACTTCCAGAAGAATTTCTGGAGGAGGGCTACTGTTAAAATAGCTGGCTACACTACCAGTTTACACTAGAAAAAATTTCCCTAGCATAGTTGAAAATCTCCAAGGGGAATGTGCAGTGGCTTCAAGTCACTTGTTCTACACAACACTGCAAAGTAAGCCAAGTGGTTTTGATAACCAGTGGTTTTCTTTCGTTCAACATCCTGCCAAAACACATGTTGACAGCCAACAGAAAACAGGTGGAGCAGAAGGAGCTCACTATACATATCAGGCCAAATCCTGGATTCTGCAAGCATCACAATGAAACCACAAGTAGGTTGCAAGAGTCATCTGGCAGAAATACAGCTTGAGCTTGATCTCTCTTGAGGAAAGGTGAATGGTTTGCACAGAACAAAACTCTATGCCTACTCTAGGAGTAGGCAAATGTTGGGCGCTTTGTTACACATAGCCTTTTTCCATGTCACACCGAAGATTCTTTCAAAAATGGCTCATCTGAATACAGCCTTCAAAAGTTTCTCACTTTTGTTTCACCTTTAACATAGGTCAGTGCAGGAATTCTTGGCTGCTCCTCCTTTGTGTTATGTTCTCTCAGTTAATGACTTTTTCCAGTTAGCTTGGCTGGGCATCCCCAAGATATTCATGGAAAATAAAAAGAATCCTCAAAAAGCTCAAGTCAAAAAAAGGCAGTGCAGGTCAATGATGCCAAAACCCTGCCTATTTCTCAAAGGGCTTCTCCAACTACTATGAGAATGCTTGATAACTAAAGCAAGATTTATTTAGTCCAAGAGGTGTTGCACAGAACTGCACTATAAAAAGGGGAGAGAAATCATTAGCAGAAATAAATTCCAACCTTTAATTACTGTAAGCCTTTTACAGGTTCTGAAAGAAGAATTAACTTTCAGTGAATGCAACTCTTCTGCACATTGTGTCCGTAAATTTTCCACTGCTGGCATTCAGGTGCCTGCACATACTCAAGATCAGAATTCTTTCGCTGTGTTCTGCAGTTTGCCATCAGAGGGACATACGACTCTAGGGTCATCCTGCAATCACAGGCATGTGTAACAGAGCTGGGTAGACCATCCCTCAGCTCCTTGAATGAAAGAGGATCCAGAAACACACCAAAGCAGTACAAGAAGGCAGCTCAATAGGACACTAAATATGGGCAATGCATTAGAAGAGTGACAGTTACTCTATCAGCAACCTTCTCCTTTGAACTACTGCCTACAGCTTTTCTTTTTCTAATGATTGTCAAGCAACTACTTGTCATATAGAAAACAGATGCACTTAGCCCACACAAAGAGCTTAGGAAGAATGGCCATCACTAGCAAACACTTTTACAAGGATGTTTTGGAAACTTATGTTCCTGTTCCTCAAGAAGGCAACATGCAAATTTCATGGAAGGCTACAAAGGAGTTTCTGACCACTGCAGTGGGTGGGAACTGGCAGAGCTGAAGTGCAACAATCTCTCTTCTGACTGAATCTAAAGCTATTGTGATAGTTTGGTTTAATACAGTTCAGAACCTACTTACAAGGCCTTTCAAACCTAAGTTTGTCCCTTTAAAAAAGTAATGACAATATAGCATAAATGTTACTGTGAAAGTCTCTGTTTCAGAGAGCAAGACCAAGCTCTATAAGGAGTCTTTAAAAAGGGTCATCTTGTTAGATAAAACCTGCACAGAATCCAGCAGGACCTGGGTAAGGGAACAGGAGACACAAGGGCAGTACTTTGAGGATGATTGATCCTTTTTACCTTTGACAGTTAATGTGACTGGGAATGTAACAAAATTCCTACCATATCTGCATGGTTAATAAGCAAAATAAAACCAGAGACCATGGCTAAAACAGCAAAAAAAAAAAAGCACAACACACCCATCTGTTCCTTCTCTCTCCCTACACATATACTATCAAAAGCATCTTCACTGGGTGTACTTGGCAGAGGCAAGAGGTAGCCCAGTTCTGCACAGCCTTACTGCCATTTATACCACAAGACCTTCTGGGCAGACTGAAAACAAAGAGCATATGTCAAAAGCCGTACCCTTGCTAGAGAAAACAATACCTATGACCCAAAGCATTTAAACTGAAGTTTCATGCCCTGTATCTTTGTGCCAAGTCAGCCCCAAATTAAGTGCAGTAAAAATTTCACTAGCGTGATATTCCAAAGCTGCTGGTGTAAATAATGTGAGTCCGAGGAGCAGTACCAAAAGCCCCACTAAAGACTGTGGCATAATTCCACAAAGAGGGGCAGTTCATAGACATTCCTCAGCCAGTACTTAAGCAGTGCAGCAGCCAAATTCATTCAAGAAACAAGCAGGCCAAATGCTACCCTTTGATAAAAATCAGAAAATCAGCTTTAGCATCCTCTTTTACTCAGTCTCTTAGAAAGTGTGACACATGCCCGTAGTTTCCTGTTGAACAGCCTTCCATCTCTTGTGCTCATCATGAAGACATGAACGCAGGAATGGCAGAAATTTTGAGCTAACAACAAAGTTAACAAGAGGACACCACCATAATAACACTTGGATGAAGACTTCCTGGCCTGGAACATCTCATTCACAGGTTTCTGATTTACTGAAGCTTTCAGATACAATCCCTTCATTTTCTGTATTCATTCTGAAAACACAATCTGAGTACTTTTCAGGAATATGCCCTTCTCTCCCAGAGAGAAAGCACCAGGCATGACCTCAGTGATTAACTCCTCTCAATTCAGCACTTGCGAGACCCTACTTGGAGTGCTGCGTCTTGTTTTTGGGCTCCCCAGTACAAGACAGACATTGACATACTGGAGCAAACCCAGCAGAGAGGCATCAAGATGGTGAGAGGGCTGGTGCACATGATGTACAAGGAGAGGCGGAGAGATGGGTTTGTTTAGCTTGAAGAAGGGAAGACTGGGGGAATGGACAGGAGGGGGTGGAATTTATTGCTGTTTTCAGCTGTGTAATGGGAGGATATCAAGAAGATGGAAACAGACTTTTTCCTCAAAGGTACACTATGAAAAGATATGGGGCAATGGACACAAATAGCAACCTCTGCAAATTCCAGGGAGGCATCAGGAAAAAGTTTTTCACAATGGTATAGGTCATTGGGATGGGGCCCAGAGAAAAGGGAATTTCCATCCCTGGAGATAGGAATATCTCAACTAAACAAGGTCCTGAGCAATATGATCTAATTTGACATTGGATCTGACACTGAGATTGGCCCTGTTTTGAACAGGGGACTCAACCAGAGATGTCCAGAGGTTCCCTTCAGCATTAAATATTCCATCATTCTTGATCATTGAGCAGAACAGCTTCCTTGCAAAAAGTGAAGTAATTATAATTAAGGAATCTGGGCTTAGCCACAGGGGTTAAAACCCAATACCCAGAACAGAGATTTTAAAAGTACCCCAAAAGACTTCATCACCTGCTACATACTAGCACCAACTACTTCACACACTGATGCAGACTAATAAAAACCAGTGCAGCCAAGTGTAACAACCAGCCAATACTACCCTCCATTTACTCTCACAACCACAGTTGAAAAAGGATTCAAGGCAGCTGTGTCTTGCTTCATCTTTTACACTCATAAAACATAATAGGATCTGAAAGACAATAGTGGCACAAGTGGACACTATTAACTGAAAGACTCAATTTTTGAGCACAAGGTACTTGCAGGCACCAGCTGCGGGATACGTATAAACAATTGCTCTAAGAATTGGTTATCTGCTGCTGAAAGAAACAGATCCAGAGGGATGTTTAGCAAACTGGCCATGAAAGATCTAGTGTGATCTGACAGCGAGATTTCCATAGGAAAGCAGTTTTAACAGTTTGAATGACATATTGTCATTCTTCCCGATCAGAAAAATAAGAGTACCTGACTACATAAGAGGTAAAAGTAAAACCAGAGTTTTCTTTACTGCTGTTAGCCTGAAAACTTGGGGATGCAATGTTAGCATAAAAGGAGACAAAGAGCAAGAGACTTCCCATGTAATATCAGGCATCCTTTATAAAAATACCCTCTGTGGTCTGTCTTCATATTCTGTCATTAAGTTTCGGGAAGGTCTATACATAGATATGTCTGCAGTGACCCTCTGTTTATAGCTGCTGTTATTCTCAAGGAATACCCCAACGTTTGGTATGACGAACCTGTTGCAACAGAAATGCCCTCAGATAACATGGCATTACAGTTCTGTTAAACAGCTCTTCTTACTTCACTGCATTCCCTGATGAGAGGAAGACCTATGTGGAAACATATCCAGAAATCAGCAATGACAGAGCAGCACCAAAGAAACCCCTGTCAGCCAGCCTTGGATTTTGATCACAACGAGCTTCCAGGAGAGCGTAATCCAGCTAAGCAGAACCTGGATATGGAACGATCAAGTAAAGAGCAAGGAGGGCATTGTGAAAAGCATGGAGGGAAATCCACAACTGGAGAGAAACCTTTGGTCAGGAAGGAGAACCAGAAAAGGCAAGATTGCTGGGGAATGGGAGTGAGGGAAAGTGTTTTCTAGGAAAAAAAGCCAAAACTGACTCAAGAGTGGCCTACCTGAGTGGGAGGCCTCTGGATCGTAGATAGTTCTTTTCCCAAATGAGAAGCACGAGGCCAAAGGACCAAGAGCAACTGGGAACCTCCTACACTGCTGCGGTGATTCAAAACCCTGTGAGCAAGAGGGACATAGAAACCCAGCATCGTTGGGTTGCACTGCCTTGTCATAAAATGAGCATTCGCAGGGCATATTGCGTGCATTGTTTCCCCTACCTTCTGTTAAGTTTCTGCCATAGCAGAGCAAAATATGCCATACTAACAAAAACAAGATAACTAGACATGGAGGATGTTCTTGGAAGGTGCAGGAAAAGAAAAATGAATGTGAAATGTGGACTAACACTGGGTGCCTTAAGCAAATGCCAAAACCAACCTCCCTTCAGTTATTGTAGTTCCAGTCTGCTCATTTTGTAAGCAAAAGCTGAGAGCCAGGCATGAGTAGATAAATGTATGGCAAAAAACCCACTAAGTAAGTAATTTTACCCTTTAACTTCCTTTTAACTTCTTTTAACAGGCTTTTATTACTATGTTTAATCAACCATTCATCTGAAATCCTAGAACTCTTCTGGAAAATGGGAATCACAAGGGAAAGTTCTGATGAACAACTCTAGCGCTGTACACTGCTTGTCAGCTCCCAGAAACACCACTGCTTTTTGCATAGATGAGAAGAAAAACAGCATTACATAACTCAGTATATTAGTACTAGAAATACAAGGATCAAAATTTGAGTTTGGATCAATCCCCAACAATCTTAACAACCTCTACAGAAACTACATAAATCATGGGCAGAATTTATGAGTTTGCAATGCCAACGATGAATGTTTCTTATGTTCTGCACTTAAAAAGGAGCACATAACTGGCCAATAACTTGTAAATTGAAAATTGAAAAATGAGTGGAAGGCTTTATACACTTAATGGCTGTACAGATAATGGACGCTAAATCTGCAAATATGTCCCCATCACTCCCCACCACCCTCATCTACAACACAAACAACAACATTACCTTTTTTGGTTAACATTACCTTTAATGTCTCGATGAACAATACCATGTTCATGTAGTACATTGATAGCAATCGTGATTTGCTTTGAGTAGAGCCTAATGACATGCTCCTGAAGGCCCAGTTTTGATACCTCCTCCAGAGTGCCCTCATCACAGTACTCCATGAAGATGTACATTTCTTCCTGTTGTGGGAACCAAACCGGATTTCATTGGTTTGAATTTTTTTTTTTTTTTTAAAAACACTGAATTAGGATCAAGTTTTCCTTCCATCCTTGTTTGTGAAGAGAGTAATGGAAGTATCATGTAATATTTTAATGGAAGTACCTCTTACCATGGAATATCTAATAATTCATCTCTTCAGAACTCTATTCTCTTCAGCATGCTTCAACCTAATATATTCTATTGCACAGCTATGGAAAATCTCTGCTACATGTCTATCTGCATCATTTCTATGGAACTGATACTATTTGGTGGTATAAAATATGTTACTTTGGCATCAACCAAAAAGCACTCTGGAAATCTTGTAGGTATATTATGCAGAAATACAAAAAGATCCTTTGCATATTTAGAAAAATGTAAAATGATGTTTTGGGCTTGGTGGGGTTTTTTTCTCTCTCTCCCAGTTCCTGCAATATCATGTGTTGATTGTTCAGGGAGGGCAAGTTTTTTGTAGTTGTCTGTGGCTTGAACAAGCATGCCAACTCTAACTCACTTTAAGGAAAAGTTAGGTTCTTGTTCCCTTTCTCTGTTTCCAAGCCCAGCCAATTTCAACCAGACTTAATTGATACAAAAAGATGGCAAAGACACTAAGCTCTTAGAACCAGCCTGAGAAACCAATGACCCAGTGGCACAGACACCCAAAGTTGTGTCCCCAAGTAAAGAAATGCAGACAAAAAGCAGCCTTTGTCCCCTTCTAAACCAGCAATGGGGCAGCAAATCAACCCATTCGTATTGAGCAAATCAGTCAAAACCACAAACGGCTTTCCAGCCAGACACCAAGCGTCCTGTTCCCTGCCCACCTCACTGGGTGGAGATACAGGAAGGACCTGAGACTCACAGGGGGAGGTGGGAAAGGCACGTGGGAAGCAGAGTCATAAAAAGTAGGGTATCTCAGCACGCAACTCTGGAATCCAACTCCGTAAGAAAACCAGGCTTCATTAGTTCTGCGGCTCAAGCAAGAAAACTCATTTTTCCTTCTGAAGAGATGCTAGCCGAATTCCAAAACATCTGCTTCCTTAAGATACTTGTCTGGCATCAAGATTTAAACGCCAGCACAAAATCTTTCCAGGAATCAAGAAGATATTGGTACAACCTTTGCTGCTAACAGTGAAGGGTTTTAGGCTGTCTAGTCTTCATCTACATGCAAAAGTTACCATACCGTATATGATATAGCTTGCTTTTAGAGCAGTTAAGCAGAGTAGCAGCATACAACAACTCCAGCGTTACTCGCTCTATTCACTTATTGCGAACCTTCTCTGTTTATGTACCAGTTCCAAAAAGGTCTCTAAACTATGTTTCAGAGACCTCAACATTCAGAGGAAAAAAGACACACTGCAATTCAGAGAGATATCCAGACAATTAAGCTAAACTAGAATGTTCTCAAGTAAAACCTCCATGATCCAAAGCTTCTTAAAATTTTCTCTCTGCCCTATGAAAAAGCCCCAATAATTTATGTTTTCTTACCCTATGGAGTTCCACACCAAAATAACGAACAAGATTAGGGTGCTTGATGCCTTCAAAAATCTTCAGTTCATCGGCTGTTTCTTTGATGGTTTTGTGATCATTAGGTTGAAATCTTATCTGCAAGAAAGATTTTTCATTATTTTGCCACTACTTCAAATTACTAAGGAACAAAAAAAACAAAATAAAAAACACCCAAAAAAACCAACCCATCCTAAACCCAAACACAAATCAAGAAAACAGCTAAAAAGCTATTCTTTTTTTTTTTTTTTTTTTTTTTTTTTTAAAAACATCATACCAAAAAAAACCCCAAAATACTACCCCTTCATCCCCAAACTACACACAAAAAGCCCCAAAATACTACCCCTTCATCCCCAAACTAAGAACACCAAACTATTTTTGGAAAATTGCATACAAATATGATGATTTATAAACTTTATAAAAGCAAAATGCTGCTACTTAAATGTATAAATACACACGTGTGCACATTTATCTCTCTTCCGAGCTTGCCATCTAGCTTAAAAGTGGTAGATAGACACAGTACAAGAGAATCTGAAAGTAACATCAGTGAGAGCTATCATTCAAGAAAGACTAGTTGCCAGGTACTTCATTAACGGAGATTCTAAGGGATTTCTTTGAGAATGAAGCAGCTGCAAGGAAAAGGTGTGGCACGAACAAATACAATCATAGGTTTTGATGAAAGAAACAGCTTTTCATTAGTTCTCCTACAACATGCCGTCATGGATTTTTCATGGAGGAAAAAATTATCAAGTCTTCTGAAAAACTGATTTAAAGTTCCTATTCACACAAAGAAAAGTAAAATGCATAGCAAGTTATGGAAGATGCTACTTTTACCATACTGGTAGAAAGCAGAAACTTCATTAATTGAGTACAGGACAACTGCTAGAGAAATAAATGCACATATTTTACCTTTGGTTGCTAGGATGTTATGGTTGATTTGTTCTGTGTAACAACTGCAGGATACAGTTTGTACTCAAACAGCAGTAAAATTAAATACATGGAGATTACAAAAAGGTGACAAATAACATTCAAGTATATTACGTATTTCCTAACACTTCAAAGTGCAATACTATGTATTTGTAGTAAAGCTTGTCCACTATAATTTGTAGAGATTTTAACGACACTGTGATTAAGACAGTAAAGTCTGAAGAAGTCTTCGGGGGCAGGGGGAATGCAATGTTTTTAATCAGTTTAAAAATAAGTAAGTAAATCTTCTCCCAAGCTACTCTTAAGGAAATCCAGAAAAGTCTTTTATTTGGAAGTTGCAAACAGTTTGCATTTAAGCTCACAGTGGGGAGGCGGGGAATGTTTCTTGGTGAAATAATTCTGTAAGTTAAAAATATTACAGGAAAAGGCAGCACACTGTATATTTAGCCTACTAGTGAAATGTCTGTCAAACAAGGTCCATTTAACTTATTTGAACTTCTGCTATAGAGCACACACATGCTAATCTGTAAAAAGCACCTGCATCTAGAAAGCAACTTTGAATTCCAGAAATAGTGTGTGCTACTGATGGGGAGGAAAAAATGTTATTTCATCAGGAGGAAAAAAAACCCAAACAAAACAACAACAAAATTTCAAGTGTTGGGAAGTTAAGCACAAGCCCAGTGCTTCCACACCTTTGAGATCAGATACATATCGTGTGTGTGGAAGAACTGGCTCATAAAATGTAGCTGCTCTAGCATCAAATGGCTGGCATGGTAACTGATGAACATGAACAGCTGATGCTCGCAGTTGTCTGAAGATGTAGAAATGCAATAAAACTAAACAATACAAATATTTTAATAAACAAGGTGCTGTAACTACACAGCTTTACTTACTTCTATACTGAAAATTAAATTTTTCTGTACCCACCAGGTTAGTCAACAGTTTTGTGACTCAGCCTAGCTCACTTAAACTACAGGAGAAGCTGAAAAACATTTGATGTGACACTTCCTATCTTTCGCTCTAAGGAATGAAGAAAAAAGGAATAAATTGTGAGATGAAATACTGCGAAGTAAAATATAAGTTTGTGTACAGTCTTCACTAATCAGAAAACTCTTTCCAAATTAATTTGAGATCTCTTAATGGGAGTTCATACATATTAAGCAAACATTCATTAAGTTCACGACATCCCTATGAGATTAGTAAAAAAACATTATCCATTTTACATACATTTAGATTGAAAGTTGTAAACTGAAAAGAAAAAGCTTAAGCAACTTAAGGAGGAACAAGTGATAATAGCAGATGTGGCTACATGAAGAAACAATCTGTCTTCCCATCCTTTCCCAGTTAGCTAACAACGGTGTTCAGAAATCCTTAACGCCTGCTAAGTCATGCACATTTGGTTTGGAAAAAAAACAAGGGCAGCAGTGATTCTTGTATACAGAGTACTCACTTCCTTCATAGCCATCAGCTCTCCAGTGTCAACACTGATACAGGTATAGACCTTCCCATACTGGCCTTCACCTGCAGAATTGAAGTAAAAATAATTACACTACATTCAATAAACAACATGTACATCAACTGCAATAAGAAAACATCTCTGAAAACTGAGCTTGCCAAGGTTATTTACCTTTATTTTCATTTAAAATTTCAAGCAGCTTTTAAACCTGTAACACCTAATACTACATTCATAGTCCTGAATTCAAGCTGATTGAAAGTAAAAACATTACATTAACAGGCTGACCTGAAAGAAAACTTCTCATGAATATGCGGATTTTCCCCACAAATCCCAAACCAGAAAGGAAACAATGATCATATAGGGGAAACAACAACAATATTGGTAATTTAAACAGAGCACAAATTTTGTGCTCATTTCCATTCATATTTCTGTTTTTTTCAAAAGCAGAACTCAAAGGTTTTAAAAGGTTAAACCATGCAGGAATCACAGGATCATACCTAAGTAATTGTCCTAACAAAATCCTTCCCCTCCTTTGTTTCTTGTTATTTGACCAGTGAAAACTTCATTCAAGTTCTACATAAAGGAAATCCTAGGTGCAACAGTATTTTGTATTTTAGCGTTCTGATTTCACTAAAGCTGATACTACCTACGTGGAGACCCAAGATTTCAAAATATAGTCTTAGATTTCCTTCAAAAATATTAAGCTTGGTATTTGAGCTTGATAAATGAAGATACAAAGAACGTACCAATTTTGTTTCCTCTCTGCCACTTGAAAGTCACTTTTCTCAAACCTACATGCATGACATTATCATAAGATTTCGGTGTGTCACAGACTTGGCCAATGATGTTCTTCCTCCTCATCTCTCTGTATCTCCTTTCTTCAAACAACTGAACAGACTTTTGAACAGCTTCAATCGGTGCTTGCTTGGAAGCAGTGTCTAAAAAGAGTGATGAACAATTTCCTTGACTGAGAAATATTCGCTGTGTTTATATTTTGTTACCTTTTGATATCACATGAAGTGACCTGAGTTAGAAGACAACTATTTTGTGAGTCTAATTTAAGATGTAGGAAAAGAATAAAACATTTTAGCACTCTCTTATGAAACTATCACTTATGTACAAAGCTGTGAAAACCTCTTCATAACCAGCATTAAGTTTCAACCTTTTATTACAGCACTAGTTTAACAGACATGACATTACAGTGACTCCTAAACACCTACCTTTGGTCTGGTTGATTAAAGTTCTGAGCTCCCAACTCCGCCGGGACGAGCCACTTGAATCTCCTTTTGGATACGATGGTTCTGGAGAAATAATACTGTGAGCATAAAAGTGGCTTTATCTCATATTAAGGATTATGCCACTATATTCAGCAGAAGCTGAGATTTTACGTATCAGGACTAATACGCCCTACAAGTACATGAGGCAACCATATAGCAATGTATGCTATTGAATTAAAAAATTACTTATCTTTAGGAAACAAATTATGAAAGCTATTCTGAAATAGGATGTAATTTATACAAGAACAGAGATCTCCTTCCACAACTGAGGAAAGCACTTCAAGTCAGGGCACTCAGAATTAAATATGTAAGAAATCTGTAGGAAAACAATCTTCTAAGGTTCCTTAGAAAAAGATGTGTATTTATTCCAACCTAAGCCAGTTTCCCATTCATACAGATACATAAAAAAGGGAATAAGCATGAGGCAGACAATATTTTCAAGATCTGCTTAAAAAAAAACCAAACCAAAAAAATCTCCCACACCTCTTAGTAAAAATTTTTAAGGCTTTTTTTTTCTTCAAAATCCACTTCATTTTGCAGGATGACCACAATATCAACTCTACTTCGCTTGGGATTTTGTACTTCATTTTAATTTGCACAGAACACACTATCTTAACAATCAATGTTTCAAGGTATTTGTTGTAATAAATACTACACATACAGGGGCTGGAGAAACCTGAAGGAGGAGCCCTGATCAGGACCTCAAGTCACACACCCTGTCCCTTCTTCCAGGATTCAAGTAACAGCAAGTATTTGTAAGATGAATACTGCAGTGGTAGTGAAAGAACTGGATAGAAAACTCTTCACTGTCCTGATGGGTCCGGTTCATACCTCATTAACAGCATTTAGGAATTTACTATTGAATGGGGTATATAATTCAGCAATCATGTTACTCATTTCATTTTGAGCACTGTAACTTAGTAACACACCAGGAAATTCCTTCAGGTACAATTCAGAAACAATATGAAAGGCAAGAGAATAGTGGATATGTCTGAAAACAGAAGAACTTACTCTGACAATATAAGCCTAGAAGTTAAAAATCTAAGATTTTTGAATGGCAAAAGGTGAAAAAAATTTTTGATAAGGGTAAGAACTGGGAACAGAGAGACGTATGTTAATGACATATATCATCGGCACATCCAGGTCACAATCTGTTACTGTGACAATCACCTTCTCGCTCTTCAGTGGGACTGGAGTGACGACTAAGGGATCTGAACTGCAACTCAGCTGCTATTGAAGTCAGTCGATCATTTTCAGGGACACTGGAACCCCTGTTAAAAAGAGCCATTGTACTAATTAACTTAGCATTGCACTAAATAACTACTACTGACAATTTAACTGCAGTTTTAAAGAGAAAGAGCCTCTGAAGCCTAGGACATGAACCATGAAAGTAACATGAAAGAAAAACTGATGCTGAGAAGTAAACTGAAAACCCTTTCTATGCTATTTTTCCCCCAAATGAAGATTTTTTGTATAATTTTAGTTATGCCACTCTATGAAAAGAACTTAAGCTTCAAAAGCATAAACTACTTGAAACTGTTACTTGCCCGTAACAACACAATCCATTTTAATGACTTGTAACATACTACTAAGACAGCTGCTGCAGGATGCAGCTGGTGCCAGGTTTGGATATACAATCAGAAGTGATTCAGCTGGGCGATAATGTGAGCCACATTATCAGATGAAGGGTGGTAACTGAATTCATATGCTCCTAGTGCGCTGCAAATACAGTCATAGTCCATAGTCATTACGTCAAAACTAGTGGGAAGAGCTACAAGCCAGCTGACAGGAAGGACAGTGTTAAATGACATCAGCTTGACTGCTTGGAGGCCCTAGCTAGCTCCTCCAGACAGCACAGAGTAGAATTAGATACCTCAGAATAAGACCCAGATGAATAAGCATGCTGAACAGAAAGGGAAACAATACTGAGAGAAATGAGTCTTAAATCCTTAAATCTTCAGGGACCTTTCTCCAGCCCAAGACATCAATCAATCCACCCATGTTTTAGAGCCATAAATTCCTCATGAAAGTTTTTCTACAATAACTCCCTTTTGGTCAAGGCTTCCTTTCAATTTTTAAAGCATGTTTGGGAAGAGCTGTGATGATGCCTCCTTTAACATAATGCTTTAGAGGTATGAGCTAAATATTACTGGAAAGCGGGAACATTGTTAAATCCTTCACTGAAAGATAACAACTACAAAAAGATGAAAGACACCTGGCATCACAAAGTGCACACACCTATGAGAGGACTTTCCTACAGCCCTAAAGTTGCTTCCGAATTGTACCCAATTATTACGTAGTAACTGTAAAAAAAAAAACACTAACCCACAATTTTCACAATCTTGAGAACAGAAGCCAAAACCCAAGACACCTTCTTCCCATGCGAATGTTCTCAATATGATGTTTACTTTGCATTCCCTACTATTGCCAACTAGATCTCTCAAGTTTGAGGAGGAACTGAAACTGAACTAGTGAAAATCCTCAGTGCTCTTCAGGAAGTTGAGGTTTTAACCAGCAAGAAGGCTGAGGGTTTTCTGAAGCACATACAGAGCAACAATTCTAAATGCACAAAGAGCTTAAAGACAAGCAAAGCTAATCCACCTCTAAAATGAGGGAGTAGCTGAACCGAGGACCTGAAGTATCACAGCTTTGAATGCAGGTGTCTAAAATCCATTTCAGGCCCATCTTAGTCACCCAGATCTCTTATTGTGTGTGTCCAGAAAGATTGTGCATGTTATTTGGCAAAGAAATAGAATAAAAGAGAAGACAACTTGCTAAATTTCTGCTCCAGTCCTGGATAAATATAAAATGATGAATAATAACCCCAGCTAGCTCTGAAATTAAACATTTATAAAGGTCATTAGTATGAACATAGTGTAAATGTATAACCATCAGAAAGCTCAATGTAAACAACCAGGTATTGCTGCTTTGGATTTTACTTTCTAGTTATATTAAACTGGATATATTTTTTTTTTTTTTTAAAAAAAACTTCAATAGAACTATGGTGGCATTTGTGCATTACGCACTGCCTAATACAATTGATTTATCAAGTTCCTACATTAAAGTTCCTACATTCAACTTTTTATAGATATTTAATGCCTACAATTATGTCATAAATGTCTAAAGAGTTTCTGGAAAGTGTACAAAGTTTCTGTTTCTGTGCTACTCCAGCAGCTGGACCTCACACTTCTTGCATACAAAACCACAAAACACTTTCTTGATCCAACAGATTCCATTTCTCTTTTGGAGCACAAATAAATGAAATCCATAATTAAGACTGCAATGTGTTGAAGTTTGCAACTTTCTTTTAACTATATTTAAACCAGAAATTTGCTATAAATACATTACGTTGTAATATTTTTCCTTCCTCAATAAACAAAACCCCTAAAAAAACCCAACAGCCTCCAAAACTCTGTCTCTGCTTTAATCATTTTTTTTCTTCAAATTCTTCCTAGGTAATACAGGGGATTAAACGATGCTATTTAAAAATCGAGGCAGTGCATAAAAAAAAATCATGGGATATTTTATTAACAACCATTAGAAAAGTAAAAACTGAGAGCTCTAAGAAAAATATAAGTCTTCGAAAAACAGGCCTAGGCAATTCAACTAAAATGCTACATTCACATCAACTTTCATGTTACAATCCATGACAGTATTATGCATTTGATTGCAACTAAGAAGTAGAAATCTCATTTCTTTTCTTCCTAATGGCTATCTTCTTGAATTAGAAGAAACTGGCAAAATGCCTTCACACTTTGATCAATATTTGTGTAGGACACACATGCAGAAAACATTAAAAGAATATACCACTGTATTCAAGTGTGTCAAATTATAAACCTGACAATTGCATCGAGCAGTATAAAATCACAACAAAGCCTACAAGTATTAAAAAACTAGCCTCCTATCTCCCTCTTGAAAAATTAACTAATTTCAAAGACACGCCTTGGCTCAAAGTGCTCAAAATCACTTGTTGTGTAAAGACTAATTATCAAATAAACAAGTTCTGCATTTTCAAAATCATAAATACTAATTAACCATCACCCTGTCAGCTTATAAAGCTGCCAGAACCTCTCAGTGAAAAATTCTCTAGAATGTTACTTACTTGAAAAGGGCTTTTCAATTGCATAGTCCTGCAGACTACTGCCTACTCTGTCTTTTTCAACAGGGGGCTTAAAACAGAAGCATGAAGGATATGTAATAAATACATGTAGGTCGAATGACAAAAATTCAGGATGTATTTTCAACCAAAAAAAAGGGCCCAGACTCACAAGGGTGCAAGTCAAATCTTATCATAAAAATAAACTGAAAAGACTTGCAGGAAAGATTTTATACAAAAAGTGGCAACTTCCCTCTTAACACTTTAATGCATGCTTCTGCTGTGCATCTGGTACAAATCTACAAACCATGATGGTTTGCTGGCTAACAACTGAAAATTATTTATTAAAAAATAAATAATTCATAATCAAGTCATATCTAAGTTCACTTTGGTCACCATCAATCTGTTGTTCCTTCACTACCTGTTCTTTCTTTTCTCTACAGCTGTGTGATACAATCAGATCATGTGTGTCCATTCATACGAATCTTGAATATTAATACGAAGCTCTCTTGTACAAGAGAACTTTTGGTACTCTGCAGTAGAAATAAGAATCCAAAAAGCTATTTAGAAACACTAAGATAATATCATTGTGTGAATAGCAGGATTTTCACAGTCAGGGGTGCAGGAGGAAAAAAAAAAAAAAAAAAAGAGTAAATTTAGAGAACTTGGGAGACATGTCAATGGTCTGATTGTGGTATGGGAAGAAGGAACATCAACAGTCTGAAATATAACAGCCAAATCAGAGGCCAAAAAGCAGGAAAGATACTAACATAGGTCTGCCAAAAAATTCACTCAGGACCTCTGCAAACAGATGATACAGGGGTGGTTCCTGTTACATATCCTGATGCGGGAATGGTTTCTTTCATATTAAGTTTACTCTGCACAACCCTAAGAAGCCAAAGGTGTAGCAAGAAATAAAAAAAGCCTCCTGAAATCTTATGTGTTTAATTCTGTGTTTGCCACTATATAGTATTTCAAAACAATAACAATACCAAAACTGTTAGCCAATATAAAAAAAAAAATTCCTTGGGTTTATTTGCATCTTACAGTCATCTTAGTGCAAAGTGTTAGTTATCAATACTAATTATTTAGTAAAGTTACACCAATGAGCTGACTGGCCTATGTTAATTTCATGGAAATTTTTACTGAGCAAATTTGTAATCTACGTCAGAACCGCATGCTTTAACTACAAGTTAAATCTCAAAGCGGTCTTATCATCTCAGACGTAAGATTTTGCTCAAGTCAAACATGAACGAAGGAGCCAGTGGAAGACATGATGGACGGAAAAGCATGGTGCAAATGATCTACTAGGATGCAAGTACACAAACAGTTATATGGGTGATGTAAGTAGAATGAGGCTGCTACGTCATGGAGCGGAGCTACCTGGTATCATTTGCACTGCTGACAGGTTTGGGTTGAGCTGAGTCGCTACCAATGGGAGCGGGGCGACTGACAGCAACGCTGCAATGGTTCCGTGCATCAGAGGGGACACTCCGTGTGCTGTGGCAAGAAGAAAAACTTCAGAAACAGTTTTAAAAAAAAAAGTAAAAAATGTATGGAGTTGAAAGTTTATTTTAAAAATAAAATTTTGAAGTGTGCATAATGAGCCTGATTTTAAAGTTTTTCAAGTACATAAAGACTTTTATGTGGAATAATTCTGGGTCTCAGAAGCTTCAGGGGCTGTCAATATGTACAATAATAATAATCTTCAAAATGAAAACCTCCAAATCTTTAGAATAGTACTAGTTTCTGCCAACAGCTAAGCAACTTTCGAAAAAAAAAAGTCAAGTGTAGAGTTTGACACTGTGCTTATCTTCTTGAAAAATAAGGCCCTCTGTTTGCATAAAAATACGCATGGCAAAGTTTATTTTGAAAATTTTAAAAACTATTCTTGCGTTAATTCTCATGTCAACTCTTTCAAAGGGAAGCAAAACCATCCATTGTTTTAAGCTTCTTCACAGCAGGTTGGTAATGACACAGAAATGCCACCATATTCCCGAATGCTACATTTTTACGTCTTTTCTATGCTGAACTACAGAAAGCACTGTCACGGGCACATATGGAGACATTCAAAATGGGGAAGGAAATAAAAGTCTTGTTAATGAGCAGTTTTCACTGAATTAAAGCTTGTTACATTGAAACATTGTTTTCAGGAAAGACAAAGGGGATAAGAATGACTTCAAAGTGAGAAAGCATGCACCAATAAAATGTTGTAAATAAAAACTGTAAAATAAAGGCGGGGGGGGAGGCGGGGAGAGGGGCACACAGAGAAAAAGAAACTACATTGTCCTTCAAAACACATCGATAAAATTCGGATCACTAACATGCTAATTTTTTCTACCTGCTTTGCCCTCAACAGGAAAGAAAAGGTTTTCCACTTACTGACAGTCAGCATAGCCAAGAGAGGATAAACCAGTTTAGAACTCTGTACTAATGCTAAATACCTGAAGCCTTCAGGCGTGGGGATGATAAGATGAGGATTTGGTGGATCACTATGGCACCGAGGTACTTTTACAGGACGGGGACTGTTTCGATGAATAGCTGCAAACATAAAAAAAGTAGCACATTTATTCAGATGTCAGAAAAACTCTGTTAGGGCCATTTCAAGATACAAAATTAAAACAAATTCCTATTTTACAGAGTTAAGTGTGAACTGGCACATATTTTCTTATCCTTTAAGAAAAATCCAAGTTATCCCAATTTTAAATAAATCAATTGTATGTAATATTATTCATATTATTGTATCATGTAACTCATGTACAAAATAATGAAAATTCTCCAGAGAATTTAAAAGTAGCAATTAGAAGATGTGTACTTACTTCACTAAAACTACATCTTCATTATTTCAACTTCCCAAATTAAAGATGATTTGTTATCTTATTGCAAAATAAATATTAACAAACCAAATAATAATTAAAAAGCAAACAGCGTTATTATGTTCCTTTTGTATCAGAATTAGTTTTCTCAGACAATAATAGAAAGCAAAATGAGCTGGGGAAAAAACCAAACACGTATGACAGTTTTACCCATACTAATGCCCCCCATGACAGCCTGCCCCAAGGAAGGTGTACAAAGGGAGAGCGTCAAACCTAAATGAGCCACTGTTGTCCTCCATGTCTAGCTCATTCAGTGCCCGTAAGAGTAGTCTGCAGCGTCATCCCCTTCCCTCAATCCCTCCTTAATTAGCCAGAAAAATATTGTGGCAGTCACATTGCAAGATAGCTGATTGCCCATCAAAACATGACTCAGTACTTTCTTCCAGGCTAGGTTGATCACAGTGAGCTGAGTTTCTGCCTTGTTTGCACTTCCAGGACAAGGAAAAGATGCCAGAGCCAGGTTTTCGTTGTCCTGTTATAATTCGCAAGGACACTAGCAGAAGACCCAGAAGGCAGAACCTAACCCACTTGGGTGGACATAGGCTATTTCACAAAGCAAAAAGACAGGATAAAACACCAGGAGACTCCCAGTTATGGGAGCAGCATGAACTCAGCAGCATGAACTCAGCTTTGGGAAAAGGGGTAAAGATCACAGTGGGTTTAAGTCCCTCAACATGGCATGCAAATGGAACTAGGAATTCTTATTTTTCTCCTGATCACGAGATAGAAAGGGGTATCTGCAATATCTGCAGCCAGGATACAGTTTATGTTTAGTTATGTTTATTTCACACGTATTAAAAGTTTCAGCCTGCTATTCAAGTCTGCACCATCCATCTGTGTCACCCCCTCCCCGTGCCTCTGAGCCCAAAGCTGTCAAGCAATTTAATTTGTGTAATCTGCTGTGTCTGCAATAGCATTTATAAGAGTTTCGGTACTTTGGGATCGTCATGCTAGTGATTTACCTAAAATGGGCCTTCCTCTGAACAACAGTATCAAAAGTGAATGTACAGGTTTTACATCACAGTACAGAACTTGCCTAAAGTTTATTTTAGACTATGCTTCTTTCTAAAGGATTGGACTGACTGTCATTGTGAAAAGCTTCTCAGCTGTAAGAGTTTCTCATCAAAATTATATCAAAACTAAAACTTTCCTGAAATACTGAAAAACCTCCCCTTGCCTGAGTCAAATTACCTTCCCTTTATGTATTCTACAACCAACCATGTCCAGGAAGCGGACATCAGGAGAAAGAAAAGAAGACGACATGGTATTTTGAAAGTTAAACCAGTCAATGGACTTGGGAAGAGGAAGAAAGAAACAGTGCTGAGAAAGAGATACGTAAAAGGGAAACACACCTGAGGAACATTTTTTTCTCAAGACAAACAATGAAATATGTCGATTTCACTCTAATGCCAAAGGTATTTTTTACACTATAACAAATTTTGTGATATTGGAGAACTATTTCCCACAGCTCCGTCGTCAAGCCTCACATGTAACTCCTCTGTACCTCAATAATTATATAAAGTCTGTCAGAAGCGTAAACATCTGCAGTGCCACAATGAAATTTTGGGAGAGGGAGCTGTAACTACCTCCTTAAAGTTATAATCACTTCTTTACCCAACCTTTAAAAAAAAAATCACAATCCTTTTCCAGAAGATCTGCAAGACTTCACAGGGATTGAAGAACAAAATCAGAGGAAAGCATCCGTGAATCTTTTAAATTTCTTGAGTAAAACCACCATGTATTTACACTTTGTCAGCCAATAATGGTTTCACATCAACAATCATGAAAAGCTTAAAAATACTTTTACTGGTATTTCTAGCATTTTTAAATTACTTTACAATCAAAATTCTGTTAAATAGCAGCAAAGCTCCAGAACAAATGCCAGTAACTTCTGCCTTACCAAGGTACAAACCTGTAACAGGACTGTGAGGTTTTCCAATAACATGGCCAATGCACTCATTCATCAGAGCTTGTAAACTCTAGAAAAGACAAACAGAAAAAGTTGTGATGTTTTATGTTACAAGAGAGTTGACAGTCATATGGTAAAGCTCACAGTAATAAAATGACACTGGTTAAGTATGTAATCTGTCAAGTAAGCACACCCACATTCTATCAATTATATTAAACTTCTGGATCCACATTAGAGTTTTGACTTCGTTCATTTTTTTTTTTAAGCTAGAAGTCTTAGTCTCGTCTTGCCTTTTGACCTTGTCAAAATTATGTAACCATAAGAACTGAACAATGATATATCATAAAGAACATTTCCTACTATAAAGCTAGTGAAACTTAAAAATATCCATTGTTAACAAAATTAAAAGTCAAGCTTGCTGGAAAAAGCTGCAACAACCTCCTCTGCCCTCCCTCTCCCCATCCCAAGAAGAAATACCCAAAGAAAATGGGTGAGAGTATGACAGCCTGAATCAGAAGATTAAAGTCTGTAAAATAACAAATATGAAGCACTGCACATTAAAAGAAATCCACTTTCCTTATCGACCCATGAAGTTAGCAGAACTTTCACAAAAGCATGTTTAATAGTCAAACCACTGAACTGGGTCTCAGGCAATCTGAGCCTAATTACTGGGTGTACTATTCACTGTGTATGTAACCTTGGACAAGTTATTAAATCTTCCAATGGTTCAATTTACTTGTCAGAACACCAGGGATAAAATATGTCTTCACAATAAAGAATTAAAATTATGTTCTTAGTATAGTTGCTATGAAGGCCACTTCTATATACCAGTCATTCAGACTAGTCAAAATTTCTTCCAGAAATTCAGAAACTTAGTGAAGACCAGGAACTTGAAGCTAGATTAATCAAAAACAAAAAATTAAAAAAAAGAAAAAAGAAAAATGCGTTTAGTCTGTGATTGGCATATCTTATCAATCCAGACTGAGCTAGACTGTCAGCTTTAGATCTAGACTGTCCTTCTTCTATGACACCAGGTATTATTTAAATAAGAGATTAGGATTTCTAAGTGAAATGCTGTGACCTGTGTTATACAGGAGTCAGATTAATCAAAGTGGCTTCAAGTGATGCTCTCCAAAACTGAAAACCAATTTAAGGAAGCAAACGCAGTTAAGGTTTTGGCTTCCCCTCTTTCTCTCCCCCTTGTTCAAAGTCTGACTTCACTCCATCTTAAATAACACTGGCTCTGAATTCTCTTCTCTGTACATGTGAAACCTCTGTCATAAAAACACCCTATTTCATATCTGAAGTGCCATGATATCTTAGATAGTTATCAGTCAACAGAAACAAACTCATGCATTGCTTTTTAACTCTTCTTCAAGGTCACAAGGTTATCAATTCCACATTAGATTTTCTGAGCTTCTTTCCTCCTAGAAGCTTCCCTCTAAATACTGAAGGGATCTCTAGCAAGACAGTATCACTTAAAATACACATGTATTACTCTTCAAAATACCAGGTGTTTTAGAAACTGTGTCAAAGCAAATAAAGTTGAGGGGCTATTTCCTAAAGCTAAAGTATTAGTGTATTTCAAATACAAGCTTAACTCTGTCATTTAGGCAGACAACCCTTTCCCAACAAGACACACATGGGACTTACTTATATAACTTACATGAAAATACATGTGAAAAAAGACTAAAATATACAGTATCTGTATTCCACAAGATTAATGTGGTTGGCATTTCATAACACATCCTGAAATTAATAAAAATCAGAGGTGCTGACACTCACATTCTGCTATTTTGTAGCAACTGTGCTTTCACTTCTCTGTAGTACTGTACCAAGATCAGAGAAATAAATTCTCAGAATTTTATTTCCACAGGAAAACGGGGAAGGCAGAGCACACAAAAAAGCCAGTTTTAGTCTATTTTTTACATAGTAAAAACAAAAGAAAGATGCTTTAAAGTCTGTTTCACGTTGGCACAATTTGAAGAAATACTTTTAAAAAACTGTGATTTTGTATTCATACCCATAAATGAACTCTGGGTGCTAACTAAGCCTCAGCAGCTTATATTCCGTAATTTATTATGATAACTATAAATTGTAACTGTGCAGAAAAGGTGCTGTCAAATTTCCCAAGACAGGAAGATAGCCTCCCAAGACAGTACCAGCAACTTGTCAGCAATCTGAAAACATTAATGCCAATGGTCACAAGCGTACTCTATTCAGAATCTTACAAATTGAAGAGATATCAACATCATCAGTTATATACAACAGCAATTGTTTCAGACAGCATCTGTATTCAGACATAGCTGTATAAAAAATATCCCTGATAACATATACTGATAGCTTCACATGTATTTAGATATAAACAAGCAGAATAACTTATTCCATACCAAGAAGTCATCTTCTGGGAGAGCTGAAATAAATGCCGGCTCAATGGCTTGAAGAAAATCAAAACCTTGAGTTGCCCACCTATCTCAAAGACAAAGAAAAGACAGAAAATGAATTGCTCTTCAGCTAAAGCCATCATAAAAGTTTCAACAACATCCAAGAACAGTAAATGGCAGTTACTTATTTTTCCTCTGGCAAATATGATAAAATCTTTGTAAGGAAATGGATTAATATATAAGAGGTAATATATTTAGCTTGTATTATTTCTTGCCCAGTTATATTCGGATAAAGTCTGATTTTAGCAAGGACACTGCCAAATAAAGTGAGCAGGCTATGCATCTCAACTCTTATATGTGCTATCTTCAGGAACAGTATCATCAATTCACTCATAATATGTTGGCAACAAGCCAAACCACTATGTCTTCTGCCTAAATTCTCCTTTCTGAAACAACATCGAAAGAGTACTAATGATTTCATGACTATCTGATCAGCAGCAACTGGGCATCACTGGTTTCAGGGCCCAGATTGGTAACGCAAAACAAGTAAGTAACTTGGCTAGAGCGAGTTGTGTCTTCAGCCACCTGCTCTCCCCCCAGTGCCTCCTTTTAGACCTACTAGAATTAGCAGCTGCAACCTACAAAATGCAAGTAGAATCACAGGATATCCTGAGTTGGAAGTGACCCACGAGGATCTTCGGAGTCCAACTCCTGACTCCACACAGGGTAACCTGAAAGTTAAACCATATATCTAAGAGCATCATCCAAATGGTTCTTGAACACCAACAGGCCTGGGGCCATGACCACTTCCCTGGGGAGCTTGTTCCAGTGCTTGACCACCCTCTCAGTGAAGAACTTTTTCCTAATATCCAATCTGAACTTATCACAGGATATCCTGAGTTGGAAGTGACCCACGAGGATCTTCGGAGTCCAACTCCTGACTCCACACAGGGTAACCTGAAAGTTAAACCATATATCTAAGAGCATCATCCAAATGGTTCTTGAACACCAACAGGCCTGGGGCCATGACCACTTCCCTGGGGAGTGTGTTCCAGTGCTTGACCACCCTCTCAGTGAAGAACTTTTTCCTAATATCCAATCTGAACTTACCCTAATGCAGCTTTAAGCCATCCCCTCACGTCCTATCACCAGACACCAGAGAGATGAGATCAGCACCTCCCTCTCCGCTCCCCCTCATGAGGAAGTTGTAGACAGCAATGAGGTCAGCCCTCAGTCTCCTCTTCTCTAAGCTGAGCAAACCTAGTACTCTCAGCCATTCCTCACAAGTCTTGCCTTCTAGTCCTTTCACCATCTTCGTTGCCCTCCTTTAGACACATTGCAATATTTTTACTTCCTTCTTATATTGTGGAGCCCAAAAGTGCACACGGTACTCGAGGTGAGGCTGCACCAATGCTAAGTATGGTGGGACAATCGCTTCTTTCAACTGGTTAGCTATACTATGCCTAATGCACCCCAGGATATGGTTGGCCCTTTGCGCCACCAGGGCACATTGTTGACTCACATAGAGCTTACCATCAACCAGAACCCCGAGCTCCCTTTTTGCAGGGCTGCACTCCAACCTCTTGGCCCCCAATCTAAACATATATCCAGGATTATACCACCCCGAGTGCAAAATCTGGCATTTGTCCTTGTTAAATTTCCTAAGGTTGGTGATTGCCCAGCACTCAGAATCTATCAAGATCTCTCCTAAGGCCTCTCTACCCTCAAGGGCATCAACGGCTTCTCCTAATTTAGTATCGTTGGCAAACTTATTTAGTATGTACTCAACTCCTGTGTCCAGATCATTGATAAAAACATTGAAGAGAACTGGCCCTAAAATTGAGCCCTGCGGAACACCCTAGTGACTGGCTGCGAGCCGGATGTTACCGCATTTACTCCAACTCTTTGAGCCCAACTCTTCGAGCCCAACTCTTCAGCCAATTGTTCACCCATCGTATTGTGCACATGTCTAGCTGTATGCTGGACAATTTGTCCAGAAGGATATTGTGAGAGACAGCGTCAAAAGCTTTGCTAAAATAATAATTAAAAAAAAAAACCAAACAAAAATAACCATTATCCACTGCCTGCTCTTCGTCCACTAGGTGGGTAACCTTGTCATAAAAGGGTATTTAGTTAGTAAGGTATGGCTTGCCCTCCATGAACCCATGTTGACTTTGACCAATGACTACATTGTTTCTGAAGTGTTTTTCAGTAACTCCATAATTTTACCAGGAACTGAAGTGAGACTGATAGGCCTATAACTACCAGGGTCTTCTTTCTTGCCCTTTTTGAAAATCAGAATAACATTTGCTAGCTTCCAGTCAAGAGGAACCTCTTCAGATTCCCGAGACTGTTGATAAATAACTGAGAGAGCTCTCACAATAACATCAGCCAACTTCATTACCTTGGAATGAATTCCACCAGGCCCCATAGACTTGCACGCGTTCCATTGCAGCAGCAAATCTTGTACAAGTTGAAAGTCAACCAGGAGTTTATCACTCCTCTAGTCGTGGTCCTCTAACCCAGGGCTCCAGGGGTCCCAGGGCCCATCATTTGTGTTAAAGACAGAGGTGAAGAAGGCATTAAATGTCTCTGCTTTATCTTCGTCCCTATTTGTGAGGTGACCAATCTCATCAAGTAATGGACCAATGTCATGTTAAGTCCTCCTTTTGCTGTTAACATACTTAAAAAAGCCTCTTAAATTTTTTTGGTTTTTGGGGGAGATTTTTTGTTTCCTTTTGTTTTTTAAGATTATCACACCAAGCTAACTAGCCTATCCACACAAGGTTCAGCCTACCCACTCT